GCATAGGAGTAAATGGGAGAAGGCGTGTGAGCTGGTGTGGCTTGTGATCAGGGCTTGAGGAAGCTAGCCCTGACCTTGACAAGTCAATAGACACCACAGTCATATGTTAATAGAGGTCCACAAGTTCCTCATGCCAGAGATAAGAATGCCTCCCTTTTTAGAAAGCAGGAACTCTCTCCAAGCCCCCGAGGGAATGGGAGCTTTTGTCTACATGCCTGACCTTGGGAAAAGGACTTTCTGGGGACCAGACACTCCAATACAGAATATTGCAGTTTTTCATATGGCTTAGTTTATCCAAATAGCTAAAGCTTAAAGTGAGCAAAGACGAAGCTAGACAGAAATTACTGTGAACCTGAGCAGACCTTCCGAATTTACAAATCTTGCTTATCAAATATACCTTATTTATCGGGCTTATGTTACTTATCTAACTTTCTAGCAGCTGGTGTTGAGTTGTGTGGGAGTAGGCAGAGTTCTCATGCTGTATGCAGAAGAGTGAAAACATGCCGTTCAGCAGAGTTCTCATGCTCTATGTAGAAGAGTAAAAACATGCCGTTCAGCAGAGTTCTCATGCTGTATGCAGAAGAGTGAAAACATGCCGTTCAGCAGAGTTCAAGAGGTGTATTGGGAGCTGGGGAATGGGAAAATGAAAGAACAAAAGGCCATCTCAGAGTGGGGACCTGAGAGAGGCAGGCAGGCAGGTAGACAGACAGAGGGAATCGGCAAGAGAGGGGACTGCGACAGAGGGCACTTTTGAGGTCTCCTGTCGTATGTGGCTGAGGCAGGCTGGCCATGACTGCCACAGCGGTGGGAACTAACAGGATGTTAGTTCCACAGTGTCAGAGATTTTCTTCCAAAGGATTATTTTTGTTTAAAGAGGCTGCCATTTTATGCATTTTCATCCCTCACAGCCCACACAAAATTTCTCAAAAGGCATAAGGGAACTCCCAAAACACACAGTGAGAATAATTAAAAATAAAAGTAAAAGTACTGGAGACTTGTGATCCGAAAAGTCAAAATGCTGGAGCTTTGTCAAGCAGCAATGGTCGCCATGTGGTCCACGCCATCCTTGTGCGTGGTTTAGTGGATAAGGGTGCTGCTCCCGAGCCTGACAGCGGAGGTCAGTCCCTGGAGCCTCGTGGTTGTAAAGGAAGGGAGATACTCACGCTAGAAGAATTCAGCGGCAGGGTGCGTGGGATGGCTACTAGCCAGGGCGTGTCACAGGAGCGGGGCTGGAGAAAGCAGGAGTTTAGCTTTAGTGTGTTGACTATTCCACACTGGAAGTTACAGGGAGGTGCGGCCTGAAGGACTGACATCTTCGATATGACAGAGTGGGTTTCTTTTTTTTAAACTGAGTGGTCCCGTGTACAGAAATAACCCCTCACTGGATTTGTGGGAAACACCACCATTGCTCTGCCCCCTGGGCCAGACAGCAGGGAAGGAAGGCCATGTCCAGAGAGCCTGAGCAGATTGGCTTCCTAAGCACTCACTACAGAAGTGCTCCTGCTAGTGTGGTGTGGACATCGTGGCTGTGTGTGACCCAGTGTCCCTGAGGGAAACAAGCCTCATGCAGAGCAGTTCTGAAAATGGGTTCTCACAGCACAGTGGGTACAATGTGGACAAGACTCGTCCTCCCAGAGCTGGCTAATCTGGGAAGGTCAGGACACAGTTCCTTTATAGGGTCATTTGGGGTCTGCTCCTTCCAAGATAGCCAGACATTATCTAGACCACCAATATACAAAACTATTTTCTGATTCCTTCAAATTGCATGGCCAAAAAATAGCATTTACTCCTAAATTCATGTTCTTGCCCATGACAGAATCACAGCATCTTGTTTGTAGCTTGAAGTCTATAGACTCCAGCTATGTGGGGTGGACTGAGGTAATCAAAAAGAGAAAGCTTTTCTTGGAGGGCCTGGACCTCTCCTGAGTTGTCCTGAATGCTACTTCTAGACTGGTTCATTCCCTGGGTACTTCGTTCAGAGAGAGAGCCCTGCAGCAGAGACATTCTTGCCTCTAAGATATAGTGTTTGTTTTTAATTTAGTTGTCTCTGTAATACCAACAAATAAGACTTCACTTCACGAGAACTTTCCCTACAATTCTCACTGCTGTACTTGTGAGGTGACTGAACAGACTTGAACAGGTGGATACTGGCTGGCGAAGTGGACATAGGCTTTTGTAGACATTGTTGTCTGCAGGAATAGATGAGCTTGTCAGGAAGGAGGAGAGAAAGGAGGAAAAGCCTGTATTTGAGGACAGAAAGGGCAGCATCCTGTGGGGAAGACTCAGAAAGAGTGGCCTGCCCTGGTGGCCTTGGTGTTGGGAGCCCAGGGGTAGAGAGAAGCAGCCTGTGGATTTACTGCCCACTCTGAAATCACTCTCTCTGCAGCTTCCTCCTGGCTCCCTCCCACCCCTCACTTTTCCTCTCGTCCTATCCCATCCCACCCTCTTCTCTCCCCTCTCCTCCTGACGACTCCCCCCTCCCCCGGGTCCCATCACCATCTGCTTCATTTCCGTTTCTCATACCACCTGTTTGCCAGCAGTCCAGCTGCCCCAGAGTTTGAGGTCTAGAACGGTGACAGTAGCTTCCTACCTCCTTTGGGGTGGCGCTGGGGATTGAACCCAGGGCCATGCACATGCTGAGTAAGTACTCTACCCTTGTGATGGCTCCGTTCACCTCTAACTCTGCTTCTCATTCCTCTTTCAGGCACTAAAGATGCTAGCCATTGCCAGTTCCTCAGAGACCCCCACTTTTGTGACCAGCCGAGATTCCACCCAACCTTTGTTTGACACCCAGATGACCAGAGAGATCTTTGCCAGCATCGACTCAGCTACACGCCCAGGGTCTGAGAGCTTGCTGCTTAGTGTCCCTGCGGCTGTGGTCCTGATGCTGAACACCGAGGGGTCAGATACTACCCTCAGACTCCAGATCCTTGCTGTGTCCTAAGCCCACCTCTCCTATGTCCCAGGCTCATGTGCTCAGCAGAAATTGTACTTAGGTTGCTCCCCTTTGGGTAAACACTGGTGGCCTTCTCAGAATGTCACTGGAGGAGAAACCAAGTGGTTGATGTAGGGGACTTCCGGGAAAGGTAGAAAGACTGACTGTCCTTCATGGGATTGGTAGTAGTGGCCCAAGGTCAGATGGTCAGGAGTCCTTCCTCAGAGGGACCACTGGAGCACCCCACAACCTAGCTGCACTTGTCTCCCTGCCTCTGGTGCACTCACTGTCGACTTCTCGGGTCACCCTTCCTGCCAGGTGCTCCTCTGCAGTGAGAAATGGTCTGCTTCTCCTCAACCTGCTTTTGTGTAACCACCACACCCTGGGAGAGCAGCTCATCACCCAAGAGCTGAGAGACACCTTGTTTAGGCACTCGGGGATAGCACCGGGAACTGAGCCAATGCCCACCACACGGACCATTCTCATGATGCTGCTCAATCGTTACTCAGAGCCTCGGGGAAGTCCTGAGCGAGCAGGTACCGTTGTGGATGTTCTGCCGACCAATGACATGTGCCCTGCTGGGACCAGTCTGTTCTTTACTGAAGGATACAGGAACCTTCCAGAAATGAATGAAACCTTAAGTGTTCAAGCGAGACATTTTTTTTCAGGGTCGGGGGGAGTGTATTATGTATGAGGTTATGTGGCCCAGGCTGACTTCAGACTCAAGGTCCTCTTGCCTCAGTCCCCCAAGTGTTGCAGTATCAGTGGGCAGCACCATACCAAGTTAAACCTCAAGAAGAACTTGACCAAAAGGAGGACTGTTGGTGTCATAAGAAATCCTTCATGTTTTAAAAAAGTAGCTGAAAACCGAGACATATGGGTACTGAACTAAGCAGCGTGTATCTTTGAGTCTGTATCTAAAGCCTGCAGACTTCGGAGGTATCATTGCAATGGTGCTGTTTATTATAGCTAACATTTAATAGAAAAGGTAACTGACTGAGGTTTGAAATGTGTGTATTTAACTCAGCAGTGCTCCTTATACTGTATTTGTTCAAGTGCAGTTATGTCTACATTGGAGATCAGAAGGGAGAATTTCTTGTACTTTGATAAACTAGACATCCTCAGTGCAGGAAGAAAGTTTGGGGTGACTTTCTGGGGTGCCCCATTCCTCGATTTGACTGACTTCTAAGATGCCTCTCATGCACGTTTTTCCTGTGGTGTGTCTGCCCTGCAGCATTGGAGAGTCCAAGCACCCAGGGTCAAAGTGGGTCCCCAGAGTTACTCATCCGATCCCTGGTGGGAGAGCCTTCTGCGGAACTCTTCCTGGACTTGGAGCGGGTGCTGTGCCGGGAAAGCAGCCCGCAGGGGGCCGTGAGTCCCCTCCTCAGGCGCCTGCAGCAGGAGGCCCAGCCTTTCCTCCTCTTGCTGCGGACTCTCGACGCCCCTGGGCCCAACAGAGCTCTGCTGCTCACGGTCCTCAGGTAAGGGTCTGTCCAGGCCCCGAGCACAGGGACCAAGGGACTGCTGGGCCTCACCTGTTCCCACCCCACCAGGGTCACGGCACGACTGTTGGACTACCCCGAGACAGTGGTCCTCCCCTGGCACGAGGTCCTGGAGCCCTGCCTCAACTGCCTGAGCGGCCCAAGCAGTGACCCTGAGGTACCGGCGCCTTGGCCGCGGTTGGAGGAGGGAAGACAGATGTTGGGGCACCACCTGCCTAGCGAGCCTGTGGAGGTTCAGCAGATCCTGTAGGTCTGAGGGTCTGAGTGCACTGGGAACCGGAGAGGAAGGAGAGGAAGGCCGGTGTTATCCCAGAGTCTTTGGACATGGTGAAGTGATGTCCAACAGAGGCTGGGATAGTTGGACCCTGGTAGAAAGAAGCCCGGGACACTGCCAGCTGGACTGCCGGCTGGCTCTGGGGTACCAGCCCCTCCGTGTCCTGTTCCCATCTCCTCCATCCTCTCCGGCCCGCAGACTTCCTCATCTCCACCACTGTGCTGCCTGCAGTGCAGCCGGCCCTTGGCCTGACGTGCTCCGTCCTTTCTTTCTCGGTTCAGATTGTTCAGGAGCTGACCTGCTTCCTGCATCGCCTGGCTTTGATGCATAAAGACTATGCAGTAGTGCTTTGCTGCCTGGGAGCAAAAGAAGCCCTCTCCAAAGTCCTGGACAAGCACTCTGCGCAGCTCCTGCTGGCCTCGGAGCTCCGTGACCTGGTCACAGAGTGTGAGAAGTATGCCCAGCTCTATAGTAAACTCACCTCGAGCATTCTGGCTGGCTGCATCCAGGTGAGTGTAGAGCTGAGAAAATAAAACCGGAAGCAAGGACTAGGCCCTTTGTGTGTCTGTCTCTGAGGTCCCTGTGGGGTCCCTGTGTGCCGGAAGCGGCAGCAGCTCTGGGCACATGCCCCCTAATGGTTCCCCACCATGGCCTTTCAGAATTTAGTGAGGAAGGGGTTGAGTGTTCTGTCGCCTCTTGATCCCTTCTCCATGCATGTTTCATGACATGCATGTTCCTGTGTTCCCTCCCCGCCCGATGTTCTGGCTGCAGATGGTGCTGGGCCAGATTGAAGACCACAGACGAACCTACCAACCTATCAACATCCCCTTCTTTGATGTGTTCCTCAGGCATCTCTGCCAGGGTTAGTGCCCTCCGCCACTTTCCCCTGGGCTCCCACCCAGAGTCCCTTTCCCCTTCCAACCCTCCAGGCCTCCTCATCCTGACCAGGCTGTGGTCTCCCCCCTTCCACCCTCCAAGCCCTCTCCTCACCTCTGACCAGGCTGTGGTCCCCCCCACCCCTTCCCACTCTCCTCACCTCTGACCAGGCTGTGGTCTCCCCCTCCTTCCCACTCTCCTCCCCTCTGACCAGGCTGTGGTCTCCCCCCTCTTCCCACCCCTGTTCCCACTCTCCTCATCCTGACCAGGCTGTGGTCTCCCCCCTTCCACCCTCTAAGCCCTCTCCTCATCCTGACCAGGCTGTGGTCCCCCCCACCCCCTGTTCCCACTCTCCTCACCTCTGACCAGGCTGTGGTCCCCCCTCACCCCTTCCCACTCTCCTCCCCTCTGACCAGGCTGTGGTCTCTCCCTCCTTCCCACTCTCCTCCCCTCTGACCAGGCTGTGGTCCCCCCCCCTTCCCTTGTCCCAGGCTCCAGTGTGGAAGTGAAGGAAGACAAGTGCTGGGAGAAGGTGGAGGTGTCCTCCAACCCCCACCGGGCCAGCAAGCTGACGGACCGCAACCCCAAGACCTACTGGGAGTCCAATGGTAGCACCGGCTCCCACTCCATCACCTTGCACATGCACCGTGGTGTTCTAATTAGGTGTGAACCCATTTGTATGTGTCTGACTGTGCCCCAATTTATCTCCCCAGAGCACCGTCCCACGACTCCATTAGTAAACCCTGCTCTTGTGGGACCTTTTCAGACTCCTTTTGTGCAGCGAAGGCATGACTGGCATATTGGCCTGTCTTTGCTGTGCTGTGCGGACATCTCACTGTCTGAACCAGGTACCAGTGCTTTAACAGATAGCGGTGCTTAGAGAGCAACAGTACACTTAGCTACTCCTCCCATGGGTGTTCGCTCAATGTCAAGAATGCCGAGCGCTGTCCAAGCCCTGGGGTACAAGGACAGTAAGGTACAAGGGATTCGTAGTCCAGTTGGGGGCCAGGCTAGCTAGTCAAGCAAGAGAATCAGGCTTTCTGGTGCATGCATATGATGTCATCACTCAAGAGGCTGAGGCAGGAGGATCAAGAGTTCAAGTCTGGGCTACATATTGAAACCCTGTCTCAAGCGGGGACTAAAAGAAGCAGAGACTTGGGCTGGAGAGATAGCTCAGAGGTTAAGAGCACTGACTGTTCTTCCAGAGGTCCTGAGTTCAATTCCCAGCACCCACATGGTGGCTCACAGCCATCTGTAATGAGATCTGGCATCCTCTTCTGTGTACATAATAAATAAATAAATCTTTAAAAAAAAAGAGTTTATAAAAAAAAAAAAGAAGAAGAAGAAGAAGCAGAGCCTTAAAACTGAAGAGAAAGCATCGTGGTCCAGGCCCGTGACGGCTATTGCCCGACTCCTTAGAAGCTGAGGTAGGAGGATCTCTTGAACCTAGCCAAAGCCATTCAAGTAAATGCGAAGAGCAAGAGCCTGTTGAGAGAGAGAGCCAGGAGAAAGGATCCTGGGACCAATGAAGGTCAGAAGGTTCCTTCAAGAAGATGTTGACTGAGCTGAAATTTCAAATTGACATTAGCTAGATAAGGAGAACTCAGTGACATTCCAGGCAGAGGCAGCGTGCAAAGGGAGAAACGGGGTGTGTGTCGGGTAAAATGAAGGGCACCTCCCAGTGGCAGGGTGAAACCAGGAGAGCAGTCAGATGCAGACTAGAATTTGTGAGTCCAGAGCTTTGAACTCTGTTCAGAAACTTGGGAAGTTGTAGGGTTTTTTAAATTTTATTTATTTTTTACTCTTTGCTCTTTGGGGGCCTGCTGCCCAGCTCACAAAAAATACGTGGAGACTTATTCTTACTAATGAATGCCTGGCCTTAGCTTGGCTTATTTCTAGCCAGTTTTTCTTAACTTAAATTGTCCCGTCTACCCTTTGCCTCTGGGCTCTTACCTTCTCTATTCTCTATTCCTTTCTTCCCTTCTTACTCTGTGGCTGGTTGTGTAGCTGGGTCGCTGGCCCTGATGGCCTCCTCTCCTCCTCCTTTTCTCTCTCCATCTTCTCTACTCTCTATTCTCTCTGCCTGCCAGCCCTACCTGTCTCTCTCCTGCCTGGCTATTGGTCACTCACCTCTTTATTAGACCATCATTGTTTTAGACAGGCAAAGTAACACAGCTTCACAGAGTTAAATAAATGCAACATAAAGGAATGCAACACATCTTTGCATCATTAAACAAATGTTCCACATTCTACAGCAGGGAGTCATTCTAGGATTTTGAGAAGAAAAGAAATTAGCTTTGTTTTTTAGTTGGTACTCAGGTAATCTTGAAAATTTGGGTTGGAGGCCAGGAAAAAAGGTTTGGGACGCTGTGTGTGTCTAGCAGAGAAGTGTTCAGTGTGTTCAGTTAAGGAGAGGAACTGAAGGGTCAGAGGTGGACTGTGAGATACTAAGATGTCGTGTGTACACAACGTGCCATTGGTTGGTCAGGGAGCTGTGACCAGGCAGGTGGCCCATTTCTCTCACAGGGGACAGAATAGAAAGGGGTAGGCTTCTGTGGACAGATGATGTCCCATGTTGTCATGTTGGTCTTGAGGAACCTCTGGTTATGACATGGGAATGTCTGATATGTGCACAGCGTGGCACTGATTTGTCAGTGAATCTAGCGGTTTAAGTAAAACCATTTTGAGAGCTATAAAGGGGAAAGCTGAGGGTCTGGGGAGGCAGGCATGTCAGAGCGGGGAGGAAGTGGTGGGAAGAAGTGGCCCTAGTTCTCACTCATTCCTTTCTCTTCTCTCAGGCAGCTGACTCTGCTTGTGGCCAGTGAGGATTCAAGTTACATGCCAGCCAGGGTGGTAGTGTTTGGGGGTGACAGCATCAGCTGCATCAGCACCGAACTTAACACGGTGGGGACCCTGGAATCCCTTTACTGTGTACTCCCCACCCCTCCATTTCTCATTCTTCATCCCTCATTTTTTGGGTGGGGAAGACCCAGTCTCTGGGGAATGGCTCTCTTGGTTCCTTCATCACTTGAAGTGCACATGGGCTCAGTGCGTAAGACAGGCCATCCTGGCCTTGACTGCCGCCTGCACCTCTTCCAGCTCTGCTTCTTTTATTTTATATGTGTCTAAGTGTGTGTATGTGTGTGTGTGTGTGGAGTACAGGTGCTCTTAAAACCACAAGAGGGCATCAGATCCTGTGAGTACTACAACAGGTAGTTGTAAGACACCAACATGGGTGCTGGGAATCACTCCCTGGTCCTCTGCAAGAGCAGTATGTTTTTGTAACTGCGGAGACCTGTCTCCAGCCCTGCCTCCTTCTTTAGTGGGTCTCTGCCTCCTTTCTCCTGCCCTGTCAGGTGAACGTGATGCCCTCTGCCAGCCGGGTAACCCTCCTGGAGAACTTGAACCGCTTCTGGCCCATCATCCAGATCCGTATAAAGCGCTGCCAGCAGGTGGGACCAGGACGAAGCCCAGGGTCTCCTCAGTGGGTGGGTCCTCCACAGCTCCAAGCCAGGACATTAGCAAGGGCTCCTCCTTGGCCAGCTTGGAGATGGCCTGGACGTATTGGGAATTGAGGGTGTGGAGCGTGGCTCTGGAGTGCAGAGTCGCTCAGGTGAGAAGTCCGTGTGCTGCAGGGCGGCATCGACACCCGGGTCCGGGGCGTGGAGGTGCTGGGCCCCAAGCCCACTTTCTGGCCGTTGTTCCGGGAGCAGCTCTGTCGACGCACTTGCCTCTTCTACACGATTCGGGCACAAGCCTGGAGCCGGGACATAGCCGAGGACCGCCAGCGCCTCCTCCAGCTCTGTCCCAGGTGGGTGCAGCCCAGGAGGAAGAGGTTAGGGATTGACGCTGCAAGAAGTGGGGGCCGGAGAGATGCTTGAGGAGTCTGAGCAGAGCCGCTGCGGCCAGCACTGGGGGGGACACTGCAGACCAGCAAAGCGCCGCCGACAGCTGGCGGAGGCCCTATAGCATGGTTGGGAGTTGATCAGCACTTGTGCAGAGGCCTCGGGGAAGTTGGTCTTTGGGGAGGTGGGGAGCCTGTCTTTCATCTGGCATCTACTTGTGTTCCCAGACTGAATAGAGTTTTGCGCCATGAACAGAATTTTGCTGATCGCTTCCTCCCTGATGACGAGGCCGCCCAAGCACTGGGCAAGACCTGCTGGGAGGCGCTGGTCAGCCCCCTGGTGCAGAACATCACATCTCCCGGTAACCACCCCACACCCGGCCCCCACACCAGCCCCTCACAAGTCTCAGGGGTCACCTGTGTTGATATTTTGGTTCTCTTGGTTCCTGTATGTGTCCTTCAAGGCCTCTCTCCTCGCTCCAGGGACCGCTCGTGAGAGTGGTGTTTGAAGCCCCCCTCCACACCATCCCTGCCCTGTTACCATGTTCCCAGGCTCCAGCAGTGGTGAGGGAGGCCTAGGGCTCTGCCTCCCTCGCACCCTTCTGTACAACTGAAGCTGTACTTCGACTCTGTGTCCCCCCACTGTGTCCCACAGACACCCACTCCTGACTGGTCTTCTTGCAGATGCTGAGGGTGTGAGTTCCCTGGGGTGGCTGCTGGACCAGTACCTGGCGCACAGGGAGGATGTGCCCAGCACCCGCGGCCGAGCAGCATCCTTTGCTTCCCGAGTCCGGCGCCTGTGCCACTTGTTGGTGCACGTGGAACCCCCTCCTGGGCCTGCTCCTGAGCCGGCCACGCAGCCCCGTGAGTCCCTGTGGCCTGCTGAGCTGAGAATCTACTGTGGGGCTCTCCAGCTCCTTCCTCTTCGGCTCCTCCAGACCTCTAATACGCTGTGCCCTTTCCAGGAGATAAACACCGAGACCCTGGGGCCCCCTCGGGCTGGAGTGAAGCTCACTCTCTTGCCCTGTTTCCACAGTCGGCAAGAACAGTAAGAGTCAGGACGGAAGCCCCACGCCCTCGCCGGTCCTGCCCAGCAGCAGCCTCAGGAACATCACCCAGTGCTGGCTGAGCGTGGTGCAGGACCAGGTAGGCAGGTTCCCGTCTGCAGGCGGAGGGGACACAAGGGGTCGCTCCGTCCTGTCACGTCCTACTCTCCCTTCAGGTCAGCAGATTCCTGGCTGCGGCCTGGCGGGCCTCAGACTTCGTGCCTCGGTACTGTACTCTGTATGAGCGCTTGCAGAGAGCCGGCTCGGAGCTGTTCGGGCCTCGGGCAGCCTTCACCCTGGCTCTGCGCAGCGGCTTCTCTGGAGCCCTGCTGCAACAGTCCTTCCTCACTGCCGCTCACGTGAGTCATGCCAAGGGCCACGCACGGGCTGCCCCCGTCCCGTCTCCTTCGGCTTCGTCCTTTGCTCCTTCTTTCCTCTTGTCCACTCCAATCCCTTGTTCATGGCTGCTCTCGTGTCCGCTCTGTCTTCCCCAGATGAGTGAGCAGTTTGCTAGGCACATCGACGAGCAAATCCAGGGTGGTTTGCTTGGTGGAGTCTCTGGAGTGGAAATGCTGGGGCAGCTTCAGCGGCACCTGGAGCCCATCATGGTCCTTTCTGGCCTAGAGCTGGCCACGACGTTTGAGCATTTCTACCAGTGAGTCACATTCTGCAGAGCTTGGGGACAGGAGCCATAGAGGCTGGAGGAAGGGAAGAAGAAGGAAGAGTAGCTGGGCAGTTAAGACATGGTAGTGGCCAAGCGCTGTAGAGATGAGGGGGGGCTTGTGACGTAGCTGAGCTGGAACACGGAGACTTCCCTTCTGGGGGGGAAGGCTGGGCCTGGGCCAAGCTGGCTCCCGCACTGAGACCTGGCCGACCGTGTGTGCTGCAGGCATTACATGGCCGACCGACTCCTGAGCGTGGGCTCGAGCTGGCTGGAGGGGGCTGTGCTGGAGCAGATTGGCCTCTGCTTCCCGAACCGCCTCCCCCAGCTGATGCTGCAGACCCTGCGCACCTCGGAGGAGCTGCAGCGCCAGTTCCACGTTTACCAGCTCCAGCAGCTCGACAGGCAGCTCTTGGAGCAGGAGGACCAGGAGGAATGGAGGCCTGAGGAAGTGGAGGTGAGGGCAGGGGGGCGGGGAGAAGGGCAGAGAGAGAGAGAGCAGGCTCACTGGAGAGCCCACGGCTCGTCTCTCTCTCCTTAGGAAGAAGACGGGGGACAGGAGCCTGAAAAGGAGCTCTGTATAGAAGACGCGGGTCCGGAAGTGTCTGTCCTGGTCCTGTCCCCACGCTGCTGGCCCGTCTCTCCACTCTGCTTCCTGCACGAACCCAGACAGCACCTTCCCACAGACCTCTGCGCTGCCCTTGAGCGCTTCTCCAGTTTCTACAGCCACAGTGAGGAGCTGGGGACAGGAGCCCGGAGATGGAGATGCATGCCGGGTGGCAGCAGGAGAGGAGAGGAGCACTGTGCGGGATGCAGAGATAGCAAGGGGGTCTCTCTAGGTTGGGCAGTTTCTGGGGGAGGGTGCAGAAGAATGGGAATAGCTTCACTAACGCTTGCTCTCTCCTTCAGCTTCCTGGAAACTGGTTCTGTTTGTGTTTCCCATCTTCAGGTTGTCTGCTCACTTCATCTTCAGTCTTAGGAACTTCTTCCCAAATAAAAATATTTAAGGCTATTTATTCCCCATCATTTTAACCACATCCTATAGTGGTTTTTTTTTTTTTTGAACATTTTTGCTGGTATATAAGTAGCATTAATAGAAGACTTAATGAGTTTATATACCTCTATACAGCCTTGTTCCCATCCTCCAGATCAAGATGCAGAACATTCCAGCACCCAACAGGCTTCTCCTTCATGTACCCTTCCCAGTCAGTAGCTTCTTTTTATCTTTCTGTCTGTCACCATAAATTGTTGCCTGCACCTGCACATTATCGAGATGGGACCATGGCCTACGTACTGCACTGTGTCTGCTTTCTTCACAACTTGGTGTCTGGAGAGGGGTCACTGTAGCTTTAGTTTTTGTTCTTTGGTTTGCTGAGTCCTGTTCTACTGTGTGCAAGTGTCTACTTTCCCTGTTCTTATGGGACACTTAGGATGCATCATAGGGTTTTTGTTTTGTTGTTGTTGCTGTTGTTGTTTTGAGACAGGGTTTCTTTGTGTAGTTTTGGTGCCTGTCCTGGCTCTCACTCTGTAGACCAGGCTGACCTCGAACTCACAGAGATCTGCCTGGCTCTGCCTCCTGAGTGCTGGGATTAAAGGTGTGCATCACAACCGCCCGGCAAGTTTTTGTATGTAATTTTGATCTTGATTTTATTACATGCGTGGATATTTTTCCTGTATGTGTGCCTGTGCACCACATGTGTGCCTGGTGGCCAAGGAGGCCAGAAGAGGGAGCTGGATCCCCTGGTACTAGAGCTACAAATGGTTTGAGCCACCATGTGAACTGGCAGTCCAACCCAGGTCCTTGCAAGAGCATCCATTGCTCTTAACCGCCGAGCCATCCACCTCTCCAGCACCGTGTGTAATGTTTGAATATTTATTTATTTATTTTATGTGTTTTACTGCATGTATGGATGTATACCATGTACGTGCCTGGTGCTTTCAGAGGCCATAAGAGGGTGTTTGGGTTCTCTAAAACTAGAGTTATGGACAAGGGTAAGTCACCATGTGAGTGCTGGGAACTGAACGCTGAGTACTCTTAATCTCTAGCCTTTCCCATGACTATATATATCATATGTTTCTTATTGTTCACTTCTGATAAACTCCTAATCCCCGTTACTGTTTTTTAGTATAGAGTCTATCAGTATGGCCATGACTAGCGTGGCACATACTCTGTTTACCAGGCAGGCCCAGAAGTTACAGCCCCTCCTGCCGTTGCCTGAGTGCTGAGACTAAAGGTGTGTGCTGGTGCCACTTCTGCGATTTATTAGTTCATGGAAAGTCTAAATTTTTAAACCTCCAAACAGAGGCTGGACATAGAGTTGGTAGAGCACTTGCCTAGCATGCAGAAGGCCCAGGGCGTAAACCCTAGCACCACATAAACCATGCTCAGTGGTCATGCAGTAATCCCAGTCCTTGGGAGGAAGCAGCAGAATAAGGCATTCAGGGATATCTTTAGCTACATAGGGAGTCTGAGCCAGCCTGGGCTACAGACCCTGCCTGAAAAATCAATCCATTTTTCTCAAATAAGTTTTTCTTTTTGTTTAGTAATTTTACATTTCTGCCTTCATTCCATTGTGATTAAAGAACATGGTTTCTGATGGTTTGGATCTTTAATGTATTGATACTTCACTTATGGGCTAGTGGATGGGAGGATTTTATAAGCTGCAAATAAGGGAAAGATGTGTTCTTTGGTTGTTGGATTCAGGAGTCTATGTATTTCATGAAATTGACCTTTTTAATTGTTCATATATTATATACCTTACTAATTCCTGTCTGCTTCACCTATTCCTGAGAGAGGTGAGACAAAGTTTACCCATGTGGCTGTGATTTTTTAATGTTTTATTATTAGTTGTGTGTATAGGTATTTTGCCTGCATGTGTGTCTGCACCACATGTTGTGACCACAGAGCCAGAGGAGGGCAACAGACCCCTGGGTCTGGAGTTAGGGATGACTCTGAGCCACCATGTGGGTGCTAGGAATCAAACCCGGGTTCTCTGGAAGAGCAACCAGTGGTCTTGACCACACAGCCATCACTCCAGCTTTTTTAGAAATTGTGATCATGTCACAGTTGTTTCATGTGACCTCGGCCCTGCTTCGAGATGCACATTTAAAGCCAGTCAGGAGTGCCATCCGATAAGACTTTTGTAAAGACAAGGAAATGTTTTTAGTCATGGTGCACGCCTATAATCCCAGCACTAAGGAGGCAGAGGCAGGTGGATCTCTGAGTTCAAGGCCAGCCTGGTCTACAGAGTGAGATCCAGGACAGCCAGGGCTACACAGAGAGACTTGGCTTCGAAAAACAAAAACAAACAAACAAGCAAAAGTTTTTCTGCACTTTTCCATATGTTAACTATTCCTGGCCATTTTAAACACTTGAACTTGTGAATATGACTGAGGGACTGAGTATTTAATTTTAATAACTTTAAATTTAAAATTGAACTACATGTAGCTAGTGACTGCCATCATGAACTGTGTAGGTTTATGGTTTTGTGGTAAATTAAACTTTGTTATTACTATGAACTGACTCTGTTTTCCTTTGATGGCGCTCACGTGCTATCATGTTTTAGTTCATATATTTCTACCTCTTACTTTTGCTTTCATGCAGGAAGAAGTCTGAACTTTGAGGGTTTCTGTGTTTTTGAGACAGGTCTCATGGAGTCCATGCTGGCCTCAGACTCGCTGGGTAGCAGAGGACCTTGGACGTTTATCCTTCTCACCTTCTGTGTGCTGGAATTCTGAGTGGTTCCACCATGCCGGGTCTGTGTGGTGCTGGGGCTCAAACCTAGGGCTTTACAAGCGCACATTGGTGTGCCTGCCTCCGCCTCCTAGTGCTGGGATTATAGGCACACAGCACCACCACCACCATACACCACCACACCACCACACCACACCACACCACCACCATCACCTCCACCACCACACCACCACACCACCACACCA